AGGTGAGGAGTTGACCGGGCGTTGACCAGACCATTGACCAGAGGGTTGACCAAGGGTTGACCAAAGGGTTGACCGGGCGTTGCCAAGGTGGTTGACCAAGCGTTGACTGGGGGTTGTCCGCGTTGACTCAGCGTTGACCAAGGCGTTGACTGGAGCTGATGACCAAGATTTTGACCAAGCTGGAGTTGGTGATATCTCGCTGAGCCCTTAGCCTATCCCCTTACCCTGTGAATGTGCACTCACCCTACGGTACTTGCCGAGTTTGAGTTTGTCTGTCTTTCCTTTCTGCATTGAGTCTCTTCTGTCCTAGGTGTTAGGACTCTGTGGATGAAGGATAGGGCCTTGCTGCCAAACCTGCACGGGCTTAGTAGGACCAAAGCTTTACTCTGGCATCTGGAGACCTGGGCATGAGCGGCGAGCGCTCGTTAAACAACTCGTCTAGCCCAATGACCGGTACTGACCGGCAAGTCTACTGAGTTCAGTGTGAAGGGTCCGAACTCCGGGCTGTAGGCTGAAACGAGGGCCGTCTTTAAGTGTTGAGGCCTGGTTGAACCACTCCCCTACCGGACCTACTACAACTGATGATCTGTGTCTGACGACTCGACTGTCCCGAGGGATATGAACCCCACCAAGGACCGGTACAGACCGGCGGGCTGCTCGGTGTGGCACAGTAGGCTGGAACGGCTGAGTTGTGGGCTGAAATCGCCAGAGGAACCAAGCTGATCACGTCGTCCTGTCTGCGACGTTAAAGAATTCTTGCGGAGTTTSGGGGATCTCCTTAAATGCCTCCTGATCAGCTTTGGGTTCAGTAGTGACAGCCTTAGAGTAGTTGTGAGTAGTGGATCTTAGAGAGTTAGTCAGTAGGTCAGTGTGTCCGGGTAGGTCTAAGTGGTGAGGAGTGGGACGTTGTCGTGCACCTACCACCACGATGGATGACTATCCGATGTATGGCTTGCTTGTGGGGTTCTCCCTCTGGGGGACCCTCTAGCCTCTCCTCTTTCCTCTGGGTTTCTGGCCCACTTTCACGTGTAGAGTAGGGCCCACTCGTGGTGGTACTTCCACCAACCCCTACACGAAGGAGGAGGAGGAGAAGATGGCCGCCATTTTGCAGGAGAGGAAGGAGAAGGAGGCCAAGAAGAAGGCCTTGAAGGAGGAGCAGGCGACCAAATTAAAGAAGATGGAGGAAGAGATGGCCAGGGAGAAAGAGAGGCTGAAAAAGGAAGAAGAAGAAAAGTTAAAGGAGGTGGATGAAGAAGAGGAAGGACCACCACTGCAACGGAAGAGTGGGCAAAACAGTGGCAGCAGCGGTGATGAAATGGAGAAGAAGATTTCAGAGTGGGTCGCCAACTTATCCTTGGGTGAAGAGGTGTTGCTATGTACATCCCCAAGGACGAGCAAGAAGCCGCCATGAAAAAACGGGAAGCAGAGAAAGATGTTCTGATGCGGCGGGCGATGGAGGATGAACAACGGATGGCGTGGAAGCTCGCGGTGATGAGGGAGAAGAAGAGAAGAATGGAGGCGGCGAATGCAGCAATACAGGAATTGGAGGTGGTGCAGAAATTGAGGTTACAATTGACACCCCAGGTAGATCTCGAGCGGAAGGTAGAGATCATCGCCCAGATCGTCAAACTATTAGCCAAGGTGCAAGAAAAGCACTATGAATTTAGTGGCAGCCAGGAGATATCTGTGCGTTCGATGCGAACGGGATTACGGGACTTTGCTCGTGAGTTAGTAGGCGCTGTGGGGTCCGAGGTGAGTCACCGCCTCGAGAAGACTGAGCGTTTTTGTGTCGGCGCCATTGAGGGCGTCAAGGTGGCAGCTCCCAAGGAGGAGGAGAGTCGTTCTCGCAGGGAGCCAGTCAAAGTCAAATTCCCTGATTCCTACAGTGGAAAAAGGGACGAGAACTTTGACAATTGGGAGGCCAATGTCAAGAGCTATGTGCATTTGCAACAGGTCTCCCCAGATCAGCAGGTTCTGATCGCGATCCACGCGCTTAGAGACGAGGCCGCTAGCTTTGCAAGGCCCCTAGTTCGCGCTGCCAATTGTAATGATGATCCAGTTGCGTTCTCCTCATTTACTCCCCTCATCGATTTTATGAAATTGTTGCGCGAGCGATTTGCTGATGTCACTCGCAGTGTCAAGGCCTCAAACAAGCTCCAGACCATCCATTCTCGTAAATGGAAGAGTGCCAGGGCACTCAAGGGTACAATGGATGAGTTAGTGGCCGTCCCGGACCATGGGGTCACAGAGGGCCAGTTGGTCAACCTCTTTTACCGGGCTATGCCCGAAGCCTTTCGAGGGCAGTTCTTCGCGAAGAGCGAAGACCCTGCCACCACTTACGATTCCCTTAGCTGTGAGGTGGTGGCTTTTAAAGCCAAGTCCGTGTCCCTATCTACCTTCTGGCACAAGGACTTGGACAAGGGTAAGCAATGGAAGGGCCGCACTATCTCTGGGCAGGTGAAAACGAAGGATAGTCTTGTCCTAACCTTAGATGAAGGTAGTGTGGACGAGATCCCCTACGATCAGATTGAGTGGGGGTTGGAGGAAGAGGACAGCGGTGCGAGCCAGGGGAGGACTTACGCTGCTGTCACGGCTGGAAGGAGGCCGCAAGGAGGAGGACGAGGCCAAGGCCAAGGAGGCCGGGCCTCAGGGAGCCGGTTTCAGGGCGATTAGGGGGTTGGCGGCAGAGGAGGAAACCGCCAAGCGGGAGGCAGGGGTCAAGGTCCCCCGCAAAACCGTCCTAGGAATAGGTCTCCCTATAGAGTAGGAGGATGGCACCCAAGGCTGCCGCAGGGCAGACCTTGGGAATCTTTGGGTCTGGACCAGACTTCATGGCAACAACGATTGGACCGGGGCCAGTGCATTTTCTGCGGTGACCCGGGCCACATCATCAAATACTGTCCCAAATATCGAGAGACCCGAACAGCTGCCCAAGGGCCAAAAGGCAGCCGCCGGTAGGGGTAGCAACTGCCCCCACCACCAGGCCATGTGGGGAACATGGCGCTAGCCGGCAGGAGACTCCCACACCACATGTGCCTATGGCAGAGGTTGCAGGCCGGTGTCTAGATAGCTGTCCCGAAACTGCTTGTGTTAGAGTTTCGCTAGACACCTCCCTCACAGGCGTGGCCGAAGAGTTGAAGGAGAGAAGGCCCGCCTGGGCCAAGATGAAGAAGGAGAAAAAAGGGCAGCTGATTTTATTAGATGCGGAGATTTTTGGAAGTAGGGTAGGGGCCCTGGTAGACTCAGGGGCCACCCGCAGCTATATTAGTAAGAAAGCCCTGCAGAAGTTGAGGCTGGGACTCCAAAAACTGACAGACCCCATAGTTAGTATCCTCGCGGACAATCGTACTATGGTTGTAGAGGATTATGTAGAGGGAGTCCAGGCGTATTTTCGCCTAGAGGAAGATGGGAAAGTGGAGAAGGTACTCCACTCCCTGACTCTCCTCGTAGAGGACAGCCTCCCGTTTGATATTGTTTTGGGAATGGATTGGGGAGAGGCAGTTGGGGCCATGCTCCATTTGAAAGAGCACGAGTGTAGGCTCCCTAGTGCTGCCGGCGAGGCTAAGACTGCCCGCCTGTTCCATGTGTCAGGAATAGAGAATTCATTGGCACATTGCTGCCTCAGTGCCCCTGCGTTCGCCAGATTAGTAAAGAAGGAGCACTTAGAGGAACAGGCCTTTGTTGCCTATGTTAGGCCAGTCACTGAGCCTAAGGAAGAGAAGCCCGTAGACCCTGCTATTGCCAAATTGCTAGAAGAGTTTAAGGATTTGACTGAGCCGCCGACAGGCACGGTGTCGCGGCCCATCCAGCATCGTATTGAGATAGAGCCTGGCAGTAGAACTTCTAAGGGAGCTGTGTACAGGATGTTCCCACGGGAGTTAGGAGCTGTGGAAGCAGTTGGACGAGCTCCTTGAAAAGGGTTGGATTAGGCCCAGTTCGTCTCCTTTTGGAGCCCCTGTTCTCTTTGTCCCTAAGAAAGAGGGGGAGTTGAGGATGTGTATAGACTATAGGGGTCTGAATGCCATTACAGTGAAGAATGATGAGCCACTCCCTAGGATAGACGATCTCTTAGATCGAGTGCAGGGGGCGAAGTTTTTCTCCAAGATAGATTTGAAGTCCGGATATCATCAAATAGAGGTGCATCCTGATGATCAGTACGAGACAGCCTTCCGGACTAGATATGGGCACTACGAGTTCATAGTAATGCCCTTTGGACTAATCAATGCGCCAGCTACGTTCCAGCGCTGTATGAACGAATTGTTTAGGCCGTGGTTAGATAGATTTGTTGTAGTTTATCTAGATGACATTCTAGTGTTTAGTAAGACCCTCGACGAGCATCAGGGTCATCTCAGGCAGGTCTTGGAGAAGCTGAGGGAAGCTAACTTTAAGATCAATGCAAAGAAGTGCGATTGGGCAAAGACCCAAGTTTTGTATCTAGGCCACGTCTTAGACGGAGACGGCGTTAAGCCAGAGGATAGCAAGATCGCAGCGATTAGAGATTGGACCACGCCACGTACGCTGACAGAGTTACGCTCGTTCCTGGGCCTAGCGAATTATTACAGGAAGTTCGTGAGGAACTTCTCCACCATCGCTGCGCCCCTTCGCAGATTGCTGAGAAAGGAGACAATCTGGAAGTGGGATAAGGACTGTACGTCTGCCATGAAGAAGTTAAAGCATTCATTGATAGAATATCCAGTCCTTAAAGTCGCCGACCCGTCCTTGCCCTTTGTCGTCACGACCGATGCGAGCCAATACGGTATAGGCGCAGTGTTGCAGCAAGACGATGGCAATGGGTATAGACCCGTAGAGTTCATGTCCGTCAGAATGCCTTCAGAGAAGGTCGCGACATCTACCTATGAGAGGGAACTCTACGCTCTCAGGCAAGCCCTAGACCACTGGAAGCACTACTTGCTTGGGAGGCACTTCAAAGTCTATTCCGACCATGAAACGTTACGATGGTTAAAAACGCACGCCAAGATGACACCTAAGCTTACTAGGTGGGCCGCAAAGATAGATCAATATGACTTTGAGCTCAAGCCTGTCAAAGGGAAGTACAACGTAGTCGCGGATGCTCTGAGTAGGAGGGCAGATTACTTTGGGGCAATAGTACATTACCTCGATATAGGGAAGGATCTGCAGCAGAAGGTTAGAGAAGCCTACGCGGGACCCTATCTATAGTGAGCTCCTTAAGAAGGTCAAGGAGGCCCCGGAGACGGAGCCGAACTACCGCACTACTGATGGGCTACTTTTTGAGAAGACTAATGTATTTGACCGCCTGTCCATTCCCAATAGCGAAGAGATTCGTAGTCTAATTTTGGGCGAATGCCATGACACAGAGGGTCATTTTGGTTGGCAAAAGACCTTAGCCAATCTGATGCGCGCGTACACCTGGCCAGGGATGAAGAATGACTGCGTAGAGTATGTTCGCAGTTGTAAGGTCTGCCAGCGTAACAAGAGTTCTACGTGCGCCCCGCTAGGTCTTCTCAGACCCTTGCCCATTCCGGACCAGCCGAGAGACTCAGTATCCATAGACTTTATGGACACTCACGTCAAATGCAGGTATGGCAAGAGCCAAGTCATGGTCATAGTTGACCGATTTAGTAAATATGCAATTTTTGTTCCCTTGCCTTCAGAGGCACGTACTGATTTAGTCATACAGAGATTCTTTGACTGTTGGGTTAGTGAGAATGGAATCCCGCTGTCAATAGTTAGCGATAGAGATAGCCGCTTCACCAGCCAGAACTGGCAAGAACTCATGGGAGTGTATGGATCTAAGTTGTTGATGTCGTCCGGCCGTCATCCAGAGACTAACGCCAGACAGAGCAAACGAACAAGATCCTACAGCAAGTTCTGCGCATGTATATTAGACCAGATCAGATCAACTGGGATGAGGTGTTGCCCAAAGTAACTAGTGCATACAACAACAGCGTGCATCTGTCTACATGCCGCATTCCCAATGAACTGCACAAGTCCTTCCGACTGCGCAGACCGTTTGAGGGACTCAACTGGGATCAGATTCAGAGATTACCGCCCGGGACCAGGGAGTTTGTTGTACAGCACGAGAAAGAACTAGCTACTGTTGTAGAAAACCTCAGGAAAGCCCAGCATAGGATGATAGAGCAAGCGAACAAACATCGTCGCCCTTCACAGTTTCAAGTAGGCGACTTAGTCTGGGTTAGATCTAAAGAGTTTGCACCCGAGGAAAACATCTCGCAGAAGTTACTGCCCACATATAGAGGGTCGTGGCCTGTCCAGGAAGTCAAGGGCGGCGAAGATGGACCGTCCTACACCATAGAGTTACCAGCACACCTCCACACTTACCCAGTTTTCCACGCATCAAAGTGACTACCTTGTCAGACAAGTGATCAGTTTCCATCCCGTAGATCTATGATTCCACCCGATATGGATGGAAGGTATGACATCGATGGCATAGTGGCTGAAGACGTATTCAGAGCTGGAGGTAGGGGTCGTCCACAGAAACAGTACAAAGTTCATTTTAGTTATCAGGAACAGTGAAACGGTATTCACCAGTTAGCAGTAGCGAATGCAGATCCCAGGGCTCGATCCCTAGTCCCCCATCTTACCTGTGTACAATATTGATGACAACCCGTAGATTTGAACCTGCGACCTGTCGAAACGCCAGTGGTAGGTAGATTGTCGTAGGTCACAACTTAGTAGGGAATCGAACTGTCGACCTGTAGGGTAGGAGTCTAGACAGTTCCGAAGTCGTAGCTGTAGGGTGTCTGAAGGGTCAAGGTCGTAGCTGCTACTTACCTGAAAGGGCAGAGTCGTAGCTGCTACAATACCGAAAGGCCAAAGTAGAAGTTTCTAGAACTGGCCTTTCGGAGTCAGCCCCTGTTTAGGCCGAGGCAAGTGGGCTAGTGGTGCAGGTCCACTACGCAGAGTCAGCAGTCCCAGGTAGCGCAGTCCGGTCCAGTCAGGCAAGTATCGTCTGGGACTGTGCACATCGTGGGCCAAGGGATGCAGGGCAGACCAAGGCCGCACAGAAGTATAAATCAAGAGGCGGCGTCCAGCCATTCATTCATTGCTGCGGATGCCATGCGGAAGCGCTGCCCCAGCAGCTTGTGCGAGGAGGTCTGCAGTGTGCCCGAAGACGAAGTGGGCGGAGAAGTGTAGTGTAGCGATAGGGTAGTGGCAGCCATAGCTGCCATAGCTATAGTAGCGTGTATGTGTGTGTTGCGTGTGGTTACAGAGTGTTGCGTGTGGGACATCCAGGGTGATCCAGAGTGCGAACAGTGAGTTGTGTGGGCGCACAGTCGCCATAGCCAGTTGGAAGAGAACTCTTATCTGGTCACGATATCTTTGAGTACTGTGTGGGCGCATGTTGCCAGTTGCTATATCGCTGTTTGCATGCATGACAAAGTGTGAATAAGTTGAGTCTGATTGCACTTCAGCAATCAAACAGCATCATACATACGAGTCCAGATAGTCATGACCTCAAACCAACAACAGAATTGCATGACGAGATTCACCAAATAAGAACACAACAAGAGTTCATAATTGACAATGCTGAAATAGTCCCATCATCATCATCAACGAAGAACCAGARTTGATATCCTATCTGGCGCTCGGCGCCCGGACTACATGTGGCAGATCCTATCTAGCCTTTACTACAATGTCGAAGTTGACGACAACAGCTCTTCCGAAGTACGAGCATACAGCGACCAATGGCACTCGCTTCCAGCACCAGGTATGTCTCTCGCCTTACTCACAACTTCATTCC